ATAAATAATGGCAATGAAACAAAATTTGAAGAAATAGTCACTAGTCATTCATAAGTATATTTGTTAATTACGAAGTCTTATACACAAGATTTATTTTTTTAAATGACAACCAAATTTTAAAACTATTACTGTACATGAACTTCAATTATTTAATGACTATTCAGTCTCACTACTATCGCCACCAACATCGCCTCTTGTTTCATATCCTTCATTTCCTTCACTCAGATTTTCATCAACATCATCATTTCCATCTCCATTTAAGTCAACCATTGTTGCTCCTTTTACATGCAGATTCACGCGTTTTGTAGATGCCAAATTGGAACTATGCTTATTCGACTCTGTGGATGGTGGCTCCTCATCTTGGAATATTTCTTCCATATCAAGTGAGGTTGAAGAAGCGTCAACCAAATGTCTAGCATGTATTTTGCATGCGGCGAATCATCCATGAGTTGCTCAATTATCTGATGGGTAACTATTGTAATACACTTGCGTTGCTTGACACACAAAGCAAAATGGCTTGCTGGTCGACAATTGATATTATGGGTTGACCTCAACAATGTTGTAAACTTGGTTAATGCGTGTTTCCTTACGTGTATCGAACCAATCACAATTGAATAAGACAATTGTCTGCATTTGCGCATGTGGTCCATAATACAATAGTTCGATGACTTCATTAAGGATGCCATAATAATCAATCTCAGCATCATCAGATATGGTTGTTCCTTTCACACATGCACCACAGTTATATGTTTGTCTTTCACTATTGGCTTTTGGTGTCATAAATCTAAAACCATTGACATAATAACCTCTGTACACATTCACTGTCCATGATGGGCCCACTGCAAGGTATTGCAAAACCTCATTCCCTTCACGATAGTCATTTAACACCTACCAAATTTATATGTACGTGTTATTAGTTAAATTTATAATATTTTCGTTAAAAACTTAATTAGTTAATATATTGTATATGACTATATATGCATAGGCATATAATAATATTTGAAACAACATAACACGATGAAAAATATTGTTTACCCTATCTTTGAACCACATAACAAAACTTCTGGTGCGTGCTTCATGTGGAGTAAAAGGGGTCATATATACACTAACTTCTTGATCAAAGATGCTGAAATATGGAAACAAATATGTGTGACCAAAAAATGGAATGTTGAACTTTCCTGCTATAATTCAGTAAGCTTACTCTAAAAATTTAATAAAAATGAGTTTAGTTTGTCATATCTCACCTAAGAAGCGCATCAACTTCCCTACAGTTTAGTAGGACATAAAATTCAGCTGTCTTCATCTCTTGAGTGGTTAGACAGCGTGTCTGTGAATGTGAACCCATTAGATGACCAGGGCACACAAATATCGAGAATTCTGTGTTCCTATCAAATGGAACTGTTGCAAAGTTCCTTGGGGGCTTACTCCAACTTGTTTCAAGATCCGCACCAAAATATCGTGAGCAAAATCCTGTTATTTCATTGAGAATGTATGCTTCGACAATGGATGCCTCAACATGATTTTTGCTCCCTATTGTTTGTTTAAGTTTGTGCATTTGTCTGTAAAATTTGAAATTAGATATGAGCATAACAAATTATTATAGATTCTGTTATACTTGAAACTAGTGCATGAAACTAGTGCAAACTTGTTTCCATTACCGTTCAAATGGGTACATCCATCGAAATTGTACAGGCCCACCAATTCGCGCCTCGAAAAGAAGATGGATTGCTAGGTGCTTCATACAATCAAAAAATAATAGCGGGAAGATTCTTTCCAACTTACATATTATTTCAACTATCTTCGTTTCCCAAACTGCCATGTCTTTTATGTTGACATTTGGGGAACATAGTGCACGGAAGAAATTACTTACTTCTGTTAATGGACCCCATATAGATTCTGGTAACAAGCCATGGAAAGCAATTGGAATGAGGCACTGCATGCATATGTGGCAATCGTGACTCTTCAATCCAACTAAGCATAGCTCAACTAAGTTCACACAACGTGCGATGTTAGATGCAAACCCATCTGGAAATCGCACATTTTTGAGCCATGTACATAGACATCTTTTTTTATCCGTGTCAAATGCATAACTTGCATTTGGCTTGCAAAGCGACCCAGAACTGTCATAGTACAAGTGTAGTTCTTTCCTATCACAGTACACTAGTAAGTCCATTCTTGACTTAACATTGTCTTTTGAGGACGAGTCATTCATGACTGTGTGTATGTTGTTGTCAAAAAAATTCTTCTCACAGTGCATGACATCAAGATTGTGTCTGATCAGGTTATCCCCCCAGTATGGGAGTTCCCAGAAGATACTCCGTTTGACCCAATTGTGTGTTTCACCGAACTCGGGAATAGTTTGGTTTATTGATGGATTTCCAAATAAAACATCAGGTAGTGCAGCAACTCGAAGTCGAACGGAATGACCATCTAATCGTGGAGGAGGGGGCCAAATTCTAAGTGGCCCTTAAGGAATTAAGTTGCATCCATTCTGTACGAGTGTGATGGAGGAAGAAACTGCCGATGACAGTCAAAGAAGCAGATTTTGCAACCATACTGCAAGTAAAAAGTACGAGTCATTTCCATGCAATATGGACAAGACAGACGACCATGCGTGCTCCATCCAGAAACCATACCATAGCCGGGGAAATCCATTATGATCCACATAAGCATGGCTTGCATTGTGAAGTTCTATTTACAGAAGCTGTCAAATGTTTCTACCCCCGATGACCATAACCGTTTTAGGTCATTAATAAGTGGACGGAGGAAAACATTAATGTTTTTTCTTGGACTTTTTGGTCCAGAAATAACAAGTGTAAGGAATGTAAACTCAGGTCGCATACACATCTCAAGAGGAAGATTGTAAACAACAATGAAAACAGGCCAACAGGAATATGACCTCAAAGAATGGCCCCATGGGTTAAACCCATCTGTTGCAAGACCAAGACGAACATTTTGTGGATTGGATGCAAATGAAGGATGAACGACATCAAAGTGCTTCCAAGCAATAGACTGAGCAGGATGAATGAGGATCTCTGAGTCAACACGACATTTAAGGTGCAATGTTATATGCTCAGCAGTTTTACGAGACATGTACAGCCTTTGTAGGCATGAAATAATGGGTAGATACCACAAAGAATTCCTGGGCCTACCTTTTTTTTGAGTTTGAACCGAGTTAAATTTTTTATATCTAGATTCACCACAAACTGGACAAGCAGTAAGTGACTTAGCCCCATCACCATGCATCAATTTTGACATAGCCTAAACCTAAGTTTTTCATGAATTTTTTTGCTTCATAAAAATTTGATGGTACTTTTTGCTGATCTTCCGGACTTAACAATTGCCTACAGCCCTGAATGATGTCATTGTAACCAACACTAGTTATGTTGTTTTTGGCTTTGCAATGCAGCATATATGATAACCATCCAAGCAATGTTTGATTATTAGATGATGGTCCAAGTGGGATGGTTGAAGCACGCAACAAATCATAAAAAGATTGTGCATGTCTATTTGGCGCATCCCCAACATTTTCAGATGCGAACTCTGTTTCATTTCTAGGGCGATCATCCTCAGATGGACAGAATGCATCATAAACCATGTGATGGATATCAGCATTAACATGTTCCTCAACATTAACATGTTCCTCAATATTACTTGAGAATGCCACATCACTTGTGGTTGACCATGGATCAACATTGTTACTTAAAGTTTCACCATGTGCCCACCATGCAGAATATGCATCCATGAAACCATATCTCAACAGATGGTCTATTATAGTTGCCTTGTTGTGGTGAGGTAAATTTCCACATTTACTACAGGGGCAGCGAATTTCGGCATTCAAGTGAACACCAGGATGACTATAGACGAAATCAAAAAATTGTTGTAATCCATTAAAGAATTCGGCATCACAATCTCCACGAGGACCTCGTCGTCTATACATCCAACGATGATCATCTGTCATCTTTAACTGAATAATACAATTAAGATTTTAAGTAAATTAAATCATTATTAAGGTAATAATAGTAATTATATAAGTATGTGTAATAGACAAAGAAATGGGAAAACATAGCAACTAGTGCATAAAAGTTGCAAACACTGTTTTCAAATCGAACTAGCTCTATCGGTTCAATCAATTGAACCAAAATCAGTTCTATAAATGGGTCGGTTTATGATATTTATCCATTGGAGGTCAAACCTGGTCAAAACCAGATCAAACCCACTCAGACCCAACCAAACCAGTGAAACCCATTCAACTCGATCAACTCAATCAACCGGATCAAAACATTTTTACATTTTCAATTCATTCTCTGTTTTTCTTTAATTTTTATTTTCTATGTTGGTAATTAATAGATAATATAATAATTAAATTGTAAAATCTATTTATAATCAAATCACAATTAAGGAATAAAATTTTTAAAATTTATTTAAATGTAATTTGAAATTAAATTATTATTTCAAATTATAAATTGATTGTAATTTAAAATAAATCAATTTGATTTTTAAAATAAAATAAATAACAACTTTATATAATGAAATTGATGAAATCAACTTAAAATTAAAAATAATCTAAAGTAATTTTACAAATAAAATAATTA